AATGCTAAAGCGTACGTATGTTCACACTTTAATACTAATGTAGTTTCACGATACTTTTGATTGGGGCCTACTCACGTATGCATTAACAATTAGAGAGAGAGATTTTCAGCGGCTTTCTGCTGTACGTAAGATGTGTGCGTCAATTCCCAAGCAATTAACTACAACGGGTAGGACTCTCATCTCTCCACTTGCGACACCCCACTTTCAATGGAAATAAACAAAATATGCTGCCTAGGTGTTGTTCGTCAATCACACATATACACAAGAGTGTAAAAATCCCTTCAGGCATCAAAGAAATTTTCCTCAACATTTCCCAACATATAAAAACTCCTTTGTAACAAAAGGCATTTACAAACATATATGACATCCTGCGCATAGACAATTAACAGAATTTCAAACTAATCTTTTTCTTTTAAGCATTCCACATATCTCCTAAGCTAACGCATTTCAATTTTGATGGTTAAGACAGACAAATTATGTTTTACTAAAACTGCCATCAAAGTCTGCAAGTGACGGGATGAGGTACAAGAAACAATTAGAACGTATGAGCTCCTGCCTGAAAAGCTCTGGTTATTAAAACGCTTAATTTTCAGACTATTGAACCAGGGTTAGTATCAGATGTGCTATGAAGTGTTTCGTAAGTGGCGGCTTCTACCTGCAATGCTGCGAGCATTAACAATACCTCTCCGAACGGCTGGATTTTCATGATTCTACTAGAACAAACGTCCCGACTTGGTTTGTTTTTGAGTTAAGTAAGGTCTCAGACCAGATTTGCACGATTCCTTTTGACGGGCGATTTAGAACTGGCATGGCAGGGTCGCGGGCAAGTTAACAAGCTTACTAGAGCTCACGAGCACTGAGTCCAGAGAAATTGGCGCGAGATATAAAGGGGTTGTACAGATTCCTCTGGAGTGGCGATACGTCACTAGATTCATAGTCCCTGGCAGTCTTTGTGATATGTTACTTGATAGTTATTGTCACAAATGTAGCTATATTGATTCCCATTTTATATTTAAAGCAAAGAAATGATCTATTATACTGAAATGATACATCAGTCCCATTTCAAATTCTCGATTGAGGGTAAAATTTAAAACAAATTTAACCAAAAGAATCTAGATTTTGTAATCCTGTTTACTTAAGAGTGATATAAAAGCATGAACTTTATACTTAGAAGGTTTAACAGAACAATATTTTGCCTGCTAAAAGCACTGTCCGTTCGTAAGCAAGAATTGTTAACCTATAAAGACTTATTAATTTATTTCACAGTATTGTTAAATACAAATAATAACTAAATGATTTAATAACAACACAAAACGAAAAAAGCGAATTTGCCATTCCAACATATTACAACATATTCTTGACACTTAGAGAAGATGTGGGAAGAATTTAGAAAAGAAAATAAACATCAAATAGTAATAAGTAGTGAAGAATATAAACATAATACAATTCTCGGTTATTTGAAAAAAAATCTGGCGATCATATTTTCGTATGAAGGAACTATTCACCGCCTCCCGACGTTTCAGCTGGCGCATGTACACCCCTTTCTAAATTTTAAGGGGAAGAGAGTGCGGAGTAAGGGGTAGTTGCCAGTGCACAAATGAGCACAGTTACAGCTGAAGTAATTCTTTTATGCTTTTCATTTCATTAGATGAAGTAAATTACATTATTGATGGCAAAGTAAAACTAGTGGTGCTGCAGAGTGACACAGACTTTCTCGAACTACTTAGTTTTCTAACTCGTCTGTACAGGTATAGCTTTTCGGTTTTCTTCACCCTCTTCCCAGGTGTCATCTATCGCTAGTTCTTATCCTCCAAACTTTAGCAGTAACTTGAATTGGCCTACATATTTTACGTATTATCTGCTTCTCAAATATTCTGAGATGGTTTATGTCCTTGTCGTTGAATGTCCAAGTTTCTGCTGCATATGTAACAGTAAGGTGTTATAATGTCTTGTATATTCTTATTTACTTTCCCGTATACGTACGTGTATACGGAGTAATATACGTAGCAGAGGAAAAGTTATGTAATGCTGCGGAAAATCGATTTCGACATTTTAACGGAAATACACTTTTCGGAGTTCCCTCATATCGAGAAATAACTTTTTTGTTTCTTCCTTTTTTTCAAAACGTCCCTCCTTTCGTCTGTCTGTCGGGTGTATGTGAACAACACAAACGGCTAAACTATATTCAAACTGAAGAAACAACTGTTTCTCTGGCCTGAGTCGAACTTCTTCTATTATGAAAAACATTCATTAATTTTTGGGGGTACTTTAGATGAAACCACAGGGCCATTTCCAAATTTTCTCAAAAATGACTCCAATTGTTTTCTTTAAACTTCTTGAAAGAATAGAGTAAAATATACTTATAAAGGTGGCGAGATCCGACGTTCACGGTTAACGCTGAATTTTCGAAAATTGCGAAGTTGAAGATAGAGGCCTTTTCTTCAAATAAAATTTGTTGTCCATAGTAAGTTTTTTCATTAATATAATGAACATTTTCTGAACATTATAGTCGTTGTCGGGCAATATTGCGTGAAAAATGTATAATTTTCAAAAATAACAAAAAACATATTTCCGAAAACGGCTCCAAATTTATTCTTTAAATTTTTGGTAAGGTAGTGCAAAATGTTCCTTATAAATTCTCATAATTTGACATGATTTTTGTCGTATTCTGTGTTGTATTTTTTATTATCCTCTCACGTCATTTATATTTTCATTAGAGGCAATTAGTTAACATTATTGTATTTATCAGTACATGTGTTTTAAATAACGTCAAACAAAAATTTTCGAAAAATCAAGTTTTCGGAGAAAATTAGTTCAAACTTCCGCATTTTTATAAATATGTGTCCAACTTTTTCTTTAAACTTTTCGAACGGATAGGGCTAATTGCACTCTTTAATATGAAGTGAAGTTCAGTTTTGGGTATTTTTTGTGTTTTAAAAAATTACACAAATGTAATTTTTTGAAAGAACTCTCACGCCGTTAGTACGCACATTTCCAGCAATTTGTAAACACTATTGTATTTGTGAGTTAAAGTGCTTCACATGACTTCTAATAAAGTTTTTCTCAAAAACTAAAAAAAAAAAAAGAGCAGAAATTCAGGTGGTAGGGAGCGGCGTGGCATGGGGGAGGGGGACATTATCTTTTGCCAAATTTGACTCGCCTACTCTACCGATTTGGGCGATTGATACGGCTTTGAATTTAGAGCGCATGTTGTCATCGCGCTATTAGTCCTTTTTTTCCCTCGTAACTAATTCTCAAAAAAATCGAAACTCATTTTTCATTTTTTTAAATGGGCTTCGTAGCGTAAATTTTATATTAAACACAAATGAAATGCGTGGATTGATTGAAAATCGTACCATTTGTTTAGAAGTCATCGGTAATGTAAATTCCCCAATGACAGCGCTGCTATCTATTGAATTTTCTTATAAGTAATTTTCGGTACATTTTTATTAATTTCTTCGTTTTATAAGTTTATGATTCAGTGCTTTTGGATCTCCCCAAAAATGCAAGGTAAATGTGATTGTGTTGAACCATTTTGTGCTAGCGTCAAGTGGGACAAAGTGAAATGTTTCTATTGCACTTTGCCCCGAAATTTTTCACTGCATATTATTGCAACTTTAATTGTTCGTTTTAGAAGTAGGTGAGTTTTATATTAACCCTCGGTACCTTTTACACTCAAACTGTTAAGAACTGGCTTCGAGATCACCCAGACAAAGTGATGAATCTTCACGAAATCAGTTCTCTCTTTGGAGAATCATTTGTAAGGGCAGCCATAGCACAGAATGATTTTTCTGGATTTATAAACGTAGGAAGATACCTTCAAATATTTTCTAACGATGCTTTATCTTCAGGAAAAGAAAGAAATTGTGAACTGTCTGCAGAACCTTCGAAAGCTACATTGGAAGCTACACCCATTACGTCATTGGTGGAAGCAAAATCTTGATAGTTTCTCCTGAAGAAAGTTTTCCTGTGCCAAAATCAAGACCCAATTCTAGAAAGTCCACCCGCAGAACTGGATACCATCCACCGGACTGGTCCACAGTCATAACGTCATCTAATTCAAAAAGCATAAAACGGTAAAATAGAAGCTACGTACGTAGAGACAATAAATCTTCATGACATCAGTATACGATATTTTAAAATCCTGATATACATTATTTACCAATATTCGTTTAAGCAGAAAACATCTAAATAGCTTTGTTCCAATTAGCCCCCTAGAGTGGGGCAAAGTCAAAACAATGCAGACTTCAAGAAAAAAAGAAGAAAATAAGAACCAGTTT